AACATATGAAAAGCAATTTTTTAATTTACAAGAAATATAAAAAGTTTCAATATATTTTTTCTTCTTTGTTAAATTTTTACCTTGGTCTTGTCTTGCTATATGCTGCCTTATATATATATAAAGACAGAGAATCTTGGCTTTTTTACTTTACCTTCATTTGAATCGAATTTTCTAAAACTGAGAAAGGTTTGATTAATTTTAAAACATAATCGTTTAAAATGATTTTTTTTAAATACAAACCTTGCTGTACAAAAAGTAAACTAAAAATTTTTTAGTATTTTATGAATTGATATTATATTGATTAATCACAAATGAATTAAACTTGTTTCATTATGTTTCATAAAGCTTGGAAACCTTTGTATGTGATTTACAAAACAGACACAAAAGTGAAAACGCTTATACAAGTTTTTCCCTTTATCATCTATACTTATAATTTCATTTGTATTAAAGTGAATTTTAAGTATAGAAAGATAACACAAAGTGAAAATACAATACAGCTCCAATTAACTGGATTACTTTTTTTCTGCCTATCTATATAAAATTCAAGTAATCAATAATGTGTTTATATTTCAATTGTTTAATTAAATAATTTTAATTTTTATAGAATATAAATTAACATTTTATTTAATACAAGTGAAAAAGCCTCTATTTAAATCTAGTTCAGTAAAAATTAATTCAATCTAATTTTAAGACAATGATGAATAAATTTTAAATTACAGCTAAACATCATCCCATTATTATTTCAACTGAAACAAAAGAGTTGCAGTTTTAAAGTAAACAAAAAATACTCTGACATGCGAAAATGTGGGCTTCACAGTAGTATTTAAAAAAAAAAAAAATCCATGCTAGCATTTTATTAATTCTAGAATGGACGCAGGAATTATAAGCAACACTATGATTAAATTTGGCATTTTGTATCCAAAGGTTGGTTAAAGCTATATTTCTATATCATCTGAAGTCTCTTACTATGATGGCGGGAAGATGACCTATTTATTCAAATGTTGTATCAGTTAATCTGCAAAAGTTACATTATTTACGCAACAATATAAAATGAAAAGGTTGGTTAGACAATTGATAGTGATAAACATACCAAGACTAGCTTTGTCAAAAGGCAGAGTTTCATCTAGAACATTCCACTGTGGATAACTTTTAACCTATCTGAAAATATATATCAAAGCTCATTCTTAAAGCACGAATTTTAACCTGATTGCATATTTTTGCCTCGTGCTCTTCTCTCCTAAGTCTTACCAGAAAAACTGAGAATGAGACAAAGATATTTTTGTGCCATGTTTTAAAATGGTCATCACTTTCCAATAGCCCCCATAAATAAGGAAACATGTCTATTGTTTACATGTTGGTCATGTGGTCTTTATATTCAATGTTTTCAGACATTCTTGGTCACAATTTCAACTGTACCATAGCTGAACTTTGCTGTGAATTTTGTAATGCTTTAAGCACCAAATTAATGAACACTCATTCTTCCAACATTTCTGCCACTTGCCATGTAAAAATGCATTGTACAATTTACCAAATGATTTACTGAATTTTTGACAAAATATTACAGCAAAGGGGATAATGAAAAATATTACATTTTTCTTGTATTATTTCTTAACATTCAAAATACACCTTCCCTTTATAACTGAAATCTAAGTCACTAATATACTGTAACTGCAATTCTAAATCAATTTCGTCCAAGTCAGTTTTTTGTAAGAAACTCCCTTATAAACCTCTAGAACTTTAAAATAAGGAAGCCAGAAAATTGAGAAGTCCCTTACAAATTCACTAGAACTGATAGTAGAAATAGCATCAATCTTATAACTCGTACTAGTGTTTAAATGAACATCTAACATTTTTAGGCTTATGAAATATAATTTCACATATATAAATCGGAGGTTTGTGTGATGATTAAAATACACTGAAGAGTCAAAATATTATGACCATCAACTCAAAACACCTTGTATGACCTCGGCCTGCAAAGCAGCTGCAATTCGCCTTGGCATGGATGCCACAAGTTCTTGGTAGATGACTGGACACTGATTGTACCCAATGTCTAAAAAACGATCATGCAAAATTGATATATTCCAAAATGGTGGTGTTCAAGCTCTGCCATCCATCTACCATTCCATGACATCCCAAATGTGCTCTATAAGATTACAAGTTAGATGGCCAAGACATTAATTGAAAATTCATCCTTATGCTCCTCGAACCACTCCAACAAAATTCGAGCCTTGTGACAGCCTGCTGGAAGATTCCATTTCCAGTTGGGAAGCTAGATGCCATGCAAGGGTGCCATTGATCAGCAATTCTGTTCAGATAGTCCACAGCTTTCAGAATCTGTTCAACCACAGCTAAGGCTTCCAGAGACGCCTATAAGAATTTCCCTCAAAACATAATACCACCACCACCAGGTTGTGTATGACCTGACTGTAGCGTGGGGGGGGAAGCAACTGTTTACTTTGAAAGGCAGCATACCCTGACATGACCATAGACATGATGAATGAGAAATTGCGATTCATCTGACCACGCAACTCTCTTCCACTTATCCATGGCCCAGTCTCGATGTCCCCTGGCCCACTGTAGGGCATCTGCTGTGTAGTCCCATATCCAACAATGCACACTGAACTGTTGTTTTGAAACACTTGCAATTGGACCTACATTGCATTAGGCATTCAGCTGAGCCATCTGATGCCGATTTTGCTGCACCAAGAAGAACAGTCTCCAACATCTTTTTTCTTTGATGATGTGTGGATGTCCAACACCTCGGTATCTACTACCAATTTCACAGTCATTTATCCATTCCGCATAAATACGAGGGCCATCCAGGAAGTAGATTACGTTTCCGTCTGTGTCCGCTAGGGGCGGGGCTAGCGTGGCCATCTTGGGATCAGAGCGTTGCGCAGCTCAGTCTGCATCTAGCTGTGCTAGTGAGAGGTTCGTGCTGTGCTCCGTTCAGATACTGTGACGGTTTGAAATGTCTGCGTTAATTGAAAATCCCGCGAGCTGCGAGGTGCGCTCAGTAATAAGGTTTCTGACTGCAAAAAACTGTAAACCGATAGAAATCTATCGGCAGCTTCGTGAAGTGTATGGGGGACAACATTATCACTGAAGGTGGAGTGCGTCAGGTGGGTCATAAGATTTCAAAATGGCCGAACCAATGTCACGACGAAGATCGAAGTGGGAGACCCAGCATAGTGACCGCCGAACCTCTCGAAAAAGTCGATGCTAAAGTCCGTGAAAATCGAAATTTCACAATAACGGAACTTTCTTTGAGTTTTCCACAAATTTCGCGAAGTTTGTTGCACGAAATCATCAGCGAAAAGCTTGGTTACCACAAGTTTTGTGCAAGATGGATTCCAAAAAATCTTGACAGAGGACCACAAAAATCAGCGAATGGCTGCAGCGTTGAACTTTTTGGACGCTTACCATAAGGATGGTGACTCTTTACTCGATCGCATCGTTACTGGTGACGAAACATGGGTGAAACATGTGAACTCTGAAACGAAATTGCAATCAATGCAGTGGGGGCACACAAGTTCTCCCCAAAAACCCAAGAAATGCATGCAAACAATGTCGGCAAGGAAGATGATGGCGACTGTTTTTTGGGACAGAAAAGGTGTAATTTTGGTGGACTTCCTGGAAAGAGGCACTACAATAAACTCTCAAAGGTATTGCCAAACTCTACAAAAAACTCAGAAGAGCAATTCAAAACAAGCGCAGAGGAATGTTGAGCTCTAAGATCTTGTTGATTCACGACAACGCCCGGCCCCACACGGCAAATGGTCACTCGTAAAGTTCTTGAATCTTTTAAGTGGGAGTTGTTTCCTCATCCGCCGTACAGTCCCGACCTGGCACCGAGCGACTTCCACCTATTCCCAGCAATGAAGAAGTGGCTGGCTATGCAGCGTTTTGATGACGACGCACAGCTGCAAAGAAGAGGTAACGAAGTGGTTGAAGGCGCAGGCGGCCGAATTTTTCGACGAAGGAATTTCCAAGCTCGTACATCGCTACGATAAATGCCTTAATTTGTATGGTGACTATGTAGAAAAGTAGTATTTGAGTGTGGCTTTCATCTGTATATAATAAAATTTGTTTCCTATACTTTGTTTATTTTTTTATTCCAAAACGTAATCTACTTTCTGGATAGCCCTCGTACTAACAACAACAGACCAAGAACAACCTACAAGTCGTGCAGTTTCGGAGATACTCGTTCCGAGTCTTTAGAGCCCTCTTATCAAATTGACTTGAACCAATAGCATTTCCCATCACTTCCACAAGTGAGTGCAAGAATGATTCCTTACTTTCTCCACCAGTAGTTAAAATACCATTCCACTTAATCGTATGTTCTCCACATCATCCAGATGAGTTCATTGAAAAATGTGGGTAAGGTCAATGTTTTGGCTCATCAGTATATATTAAAATGTTGTGCTTCAAAATTTAAACCTGATTAAATATATTTTGTATCAGCTTTGTCTGATAACTGAAAGATTTAATACTAGAATCTGAAACAATTTGAGATCGGTACATGCGTTTACAAATCTCCTGCCATTAAAATCTGCTTGAAATATGGTTACAATATTTTCCTAATAAAACAAAATAAAACAAGCAAAAAACTTAGGTTTTTCATTTAGGTCTGTTAGTTCAATTTCATGAGATTCTACAAAATGATAATTTTGAAAAAATTATAGTTAAATTACTTAAAGTTTAACTATTCTGCACACTAAGTAAATTCAATAACTTAACAATAATTTATCTATTTTTTTAATGATACAAAAAGTAGAAAACTACTTTTTATAACACTGTATTAAATATTTTTAAATTGTATAAGTTGTATAGGAAACTTATTTATTCCATATGCAAAACGTTCTTGACACACTTATCTTTGTAATAACGAAGACAGATTTTTCACAATTTTATTTTTTCTAAATTTTTTTTTTATCTTGAAACTATTTTAAGTTACACACATAATGTATTTTAGAGCACATGGAATTTACAAACAAAACTGAGAATCAATTCTTTATTCAGACAGCTGTAAGCAAAATTCTTTGAATTCCTTACATTTAAAATTCATTCTCTCCCTTTGCCTTTCATTAGCAAAAGGAATTTTACCGAATACAGTATATTTACAGAAGTTTTCTAAATGATGCAAAACATTTGTAGAAGTAAACTTTATTCATGAGGGGGTGATCATATAAAGAAGCTATAAGCAGAGACAAACAACATTCAAATGGCAATAAACCTTCTGAACAAAATAGGAGAAAACTCATTTCAAATGTGCATAGAACTTATATAACAAATTATTTTTCAGTGCAATTTTCACATGAGCAAACGTAATTTCCAGCACAGCAAATTTTGTACACTACAGAAATATCAAAGTAAAGATCACAAGCAAAACTTTAAAAGGGGAAAAAAAAAGTAGTTTCTAATCACACTTAAAAGGTTAAAAAATTATAGAAAGGTTAAGTGATTGCTCCTCACCCCCTTTCTTTGAAATTTTCCAGCTTCTCAAAAATAAGTATTTAATATTTTGTTTACTGGCTATAGTAGTATAATTAAAACTACGGTTATCAGGCTGCTACTATAAGAAATTTAAAAAAAAAAAAAAAAAATGCATCTGAGAGGGAAGAAGCACAATAATATGGCATAGTAATAAACAAAATCTGATTTTTCATTGCAGGATTACAATGTGAGCATAATGTTCAATCAAAGACAGAATAACCACTAATAAACATTAGTTAGTAGATTCATACAGCTACAACACTGCAAATTAAGTATTAGACATAACATCTGAAGTTCCAAAAAGAACAACAAATTGCCTTATTAACAATATAACAAAGAACTAGATTGCCTTGAACTAAACCTAAGGCAGTTACTCTCAGTATCTGACATAAGGTAAATATAATGTACAGAAAGCTGACATCTTCATGATGTTAGGAATGTTCTAAATCAAGTATCATAGGACCATTTTCACACATACATACACATACACACACACACCCACGCACACACATATATTTATATTTTTACAAGTGGGAGATAAACTTTTAATTTACAATGTCCCAGCCCTTTAAAACTTCAGGCTTTTTTATTTTTAATTTTTTTTTTAAAGCAAACATGTACACACAAATAATGGTTCGTGCAGTGCACACTCACCAAAATACATAAAAGTAAGAGACACAAAAGATAGAAAACACTTAAACTGTACAGCACAAGTATTGTTGATCCTGTCAGGAGGGGAAAAAAATATTTATACACAGCCTTCTTGGCTTACTTTCCTTTTCAAAAATATTTTAGCTGTCTTCACCGAGTATATTGATCTCTCACATTATACAATCTGAGCACCTAATTACCACATACCCTTTTCAGGAAGCCTTACTGAAGAAAAATAAATCGCTAAAAAAATTGTCTATAGCTCAAAGGACATCCTGCAAACATTATCAGCCTCACTAAATTGTAGATTTCTTTTTAATATCACAGTTTCACAAGTTTGCAAAGATGTAAAGTACACAAAAACAAATAAATTCATAATTTTTCAATCAAAACAAGATCAAAACAATTCAAAAAACACTTTGAACATGACACTTTACATAAGACAGCACTAACATATACCTAACCATAAAATAGTAACTCTTAAGAGGCCATGGTTCATTTCCTTGTATGTAACAAACACAGTGCATTCTGCACCATCTATTTTTAATTATGAACAACTGCAGACTGCTGCTGCCTTTCAACTTCTTCTACAAGTAGAGCTTTCTGGTGAGAGACAGGGGGCATTTCAGGCATTTTCTGCTTCAGGACATCATTACCAAACCATTTTGTAAGGTTGACTGGTGACTGACGGTTGGTTGATGACTGTCCTGGTAGAAGGTGCTGATGTTTCACATCTAGGAAATAATAATAAAACTAAGATTCTGAAAATATCAAGTAAAATTTTACGATTACGTAAATATTAAAAAACTGCCAGGTTAACTTAAGGATGTGTGGGGACAACCAGAAGGTTCTGCAAATTTACAAATCAATGCAAGTTTTCTAATGATTATTTTTTTACTTCTGATTAGGAGTGATCTTGATTGAAGCAAATTTGCAAAAGTTCCCCCCCCCTACTATCACTTAACACTAGTGTTGTAATAATTTTTATTTCCATGCAGTGCTAAAAATTGAAAATTGAAAAGATCATTTCTGTCATATCATTCTCATTTAGTTTAAAAGAGGAAAAAATGCTAGTCAAACTGCTCGCAAAATTTGGGCCGTATATAGAAACAGTGCTGTTTCTGATGACATAGTTCAAAGGTGGTTTGAGATATTTGCATGAAACTTTTAGCCTCAAAGATACTTCCTTTGGACGATCATCCTCTGTAAACAAGGACCTTGTTAGAAGACACTATCGCTGAAAATCCAAATTATACAGTTCAGAAACTATCAGACAGAATAAATATTCCAAAAAGCACAGTAGATGATCATTTGAAGGAAAGTAGGTATGTAAGCCCCTACAATGTATGGGTGTCCAATACTTCAACAGAATATGCTTGCTCGAATTTCTGCTGCAACTCTTTTGAAGAAGAAGGAGGGAAAAAAAAAAAAAAAAAAAAAAGGAGGAACTCCTTCTTTGAAATGACTCATTACTAGAGATGAGAAATGGATAGTATGTAATAATGGTACAAGAAAAAATTACGGGTTAGTTAAAAAAAAAAAGCTCCTTTAATAACAATGACAGGGGGCTGCATCCCCCCGAAATAACATTGTGTATGTTGGGACTACAAAGGAATTGTATACTATGAATTGTTGCCACCAATTCAGACAATCAATTAAAGGTACTACTCTTCCAAAATGACAATTATAAGAGACAGAAATGGAAACAAAGCTTCCAGAACTGACCAATTATCAAGGTGTCTTCATCATGACAATATTTGGTTTTATATTTCAATGAATGTCAGACAAGACTCAATGAGTAAGGAAGGCATGTTTTGTGTCATCCTCCATATTCACCAGACCTTGCTCCCTTATAGTATTTTTATCTCTTTAGGTGATGTGAGAATTCTATGAACAGCCGGGAGTCAACTTCCTTGGACACTAAAACAATACCTCAATAATTTCTTCACAAATAAATCTAATGACTTTTTTAGTATATAGAAATTTTCAATCTACCAGAGAGATGCCAAAAAGTTATAAAACAAATGGTTTTTATGAGATTTGGTGAAATTTTCTTATTGTTTTGTACTGCTTCATTTGCATTTATATATATATATAAAAGAACTTTCCAGATGATGGAATATATCTACCAATTCCCAAGTTTTCTGGAGTGATAAACAATATACATGCATTGTTACTTTTATTAGCACAAATAACAATTTGCTTTAAAAATTAAAAAAATATACATAACATTTAATCTGAATGTATGAAACGTAATCTATGCAACATCCAAACATATTTGTTCAATTTTTAATTGGTTCATTCATGATTCATAGCTTACAGTATTTTAGCTACAGACCTATGGTAAGGAAAACCTTAAGAATCATTTAAAATAATATTTAGCTTATATCTGCAAGGTTTCTAATTTTGTCATTTATAATTCTGAAACTATGTTGAGATCATGTAAGAAATACTTGGAATGTATGACTAAGATCATCCACAAAAATGGCAGCCATGTTACGTTAAATCAATGTCCTTGCATGCTAGAAACTATTGTAATGCTTTCTCAGCTAATCATAAAAATACAAACACTATATATATTACAATTTAAAAATAGAGTATAAACTAAAAAAATAAAATGCAAATTGACCAACATTTCTATAATTTTGATATCATAATGAACAATTGTTTCTCTTATTAAATGCTAATATTAATTTACGCTGAACTATTTTGAAAATATTTACAACAGGTATAATTGTTAACATAGAACAAAATAATCTTCTACATTAAAAAAGTATCTAACATAAAGTCACATTGCATTAAGAAAAAATTTAAACATAATGGGCATGACTTTAGTTCGTGTAAAAACTACATGCATGTCATATTTGTTCCTTTCCTTTGCTCATCTCTTAAAATTAAGCTTTCTAAAATTTACCTAACATTAACTTAGTGAAAACATTGAGAAATCACAGAAAATATATGCAAGTGAAAGCAAAAATATATAAAATGAAGTCATATCAAACAAAAAATAAGAGATTCACCTCTATTTCCAGGAAACCCTGCAACGACTTGGGCTTGGGCTGCTGTTACTTGATTCTGAGAATTCATAAGAAGTTGCTGTAATGTAGCAGGATGAAAACGTTGAGATTGAGCTAAAGCTTGCAGTTGCCTATTATCAATAGCACCTCGCTGAATTTGAAGTGCGGCAAGATGCCCCAAATGGCTAAGTTGATTAATTGCATTAGTTTGTGCTGCATTAAAAAAAGAAATAATTAATAGTAAAAATTCCTGGTTATCAATCTAACAATACTGATTACAATGCCACCTAACAATACATATTAAAATTATAACAAAACCCCTTCTAGTAACCACCTTACCTAAGATAACCTATAATACAATCTACTAATACATACTAAACTAACCTCCCTCCAAAAAACCTGTTCTACTGACCATATTTCTTAACACTCTGAGTGGCACAGGATTTTATATCCGTCACGAAGACCATCATTTAAACAGCACTTATTAATTCAGTTTGTATAATTACTTATTTATAATTACTGTTATTTTCATAAACTTTCATTCATTAAGATGATATTTACATTATTAAAGAAAGTAATAATGCAAAATATCTTAAATTATAAGCTAATATATGCCAAGTAGCAAAACTTCTGATGACCGAATAAACCCAGTCATACCACTCAGAGGTTAAAACAACTAAATCTCAAATTTACTAAGATTTCTGAAAACCTTGATTTTGGATTGAAAACACAACAGAAAAGTAAACTATTTTCATCAAATATTTAGCTCAATTCTTATGTAGGTAGAATTTGTGGAAATCATATCCAAAAATCACATCATAAAAAGCTGCATATCACTAGCTTAATGGATTAAAACATTTGAACTGAGACTATCATGTTAGTCATTTTTTTAAAATGATTCATTGCCAGTTACAGTTTATCAAAAATAATTACAAAATAATCTTTTTCATCCAAAACCTAAATCAGCCTACATCCTAAATTGACACAGCAACAGCAAACCCTATTTAGCCAAAAAATTAAAATAGAAAATTGAACAAACGGTTTAAAGCTCTTTTAAAGTGTTATTAAAAACATACCTCTAATGGGATTTTGCACAGTATTCCTAAGCAATGGAAAATTAATATTAGTGGCAGAAACATTTCCAGCAGAAGCAATATTAGGTCGCATGAGACTAGGATGGTGAGGGTTCAGAGATGAAGGTCTGTGATTAAGAGCAGCATAAGTTGCAGCAGCCATTTGCAATTGTGGCATGGATGAAGCATTCTGCTGACGTGCTAGCTGATGATGCCAGGGAAACTTGGCCATTGTATCAAAATTTGGATCTACATCATGATGCAGGTTATGGGCTATAGAAGGGGGAAAAAAAACTTAAATTTATATTTAAAAAGCTAAGGCATAAAAAACTTTCAATAACCAAATATCCATAATTAAAGTAACAAATCATTCATTTTGCCAATAATTCAGCTCCAATATGGTTCACAAAACTAATGGAAATAATTATCAAATTCATTAAATCTGCCACTCACGAAAATGCAAATTGAAAAATAATTTAGCCTTTTATTAAACTCTTTGTCGTATTTACTTCATAATAAAAATATAAAAATTTTACACACATTACAGTTACATATAAGTAGACTGAAATTAAAATTTATTTGAAACACTAGCTCTTACAGCAGGAAAAATTAAAAGATGCCCCTCATCCCTGTAAGACAGTAGAAATAATACATTATAATTTAATACATACAAAATGTTTCAATATTGTTCAAACACTGTTTACACAGGTGTTTTCATCAGCCTATCACATTGCATTTAATGTAAGCAAAGTTTTCCTAATTTTTAAAAACTGAATCAAACACATTATGCTGCAATATCCATAATAACAATCTATGATTCATAATGAAGCCAGACACATCACATGATTTGTGATGTGTCTGGCTTCATTATGAATCATAGATTGGTGCCTTGCACGTTACTTTACACATGGAAAAACATCATCAACCGAGTTCCCTACAAGAAAACTGATAAAGGACAGAAGATAGGACAACACTTTTTCTTATGGTTTTGAAAATCAAAATATATTAATGAGATAATAAGGAGGAATGAACTGGAATGTTCAATTACAAGTGCTAATATTACACAAAATGAGTATGTTTAAAACTGACAGCAGTAATAATTCTGAAAATTTCTAATTGTCTACTGGTTGATGATATGTTTTTAAGAAATAAAAAATTTAGTTATCTCCCAAAAACGTAATCTTATCCTTCATATTCAACTTGAATACATTTTGTGTTCAGTGAGTACTTTTTAAAATGCTTTCTACTTTTTACATTTTGCAATATGGAAACTTTGCAACTTATCCATAAAAGTTCATAAGCACCTTTTTTGGCAGGGAGGCAATATTGCTCACATACGTACTTCCAGTTACTAGAATTTTTTTTAATGTCACAGATATTGATGTTTTAAAATTAATTAAAAAAAATTATGAAATCTAATTTTCATATTATCCTCCAGTCCCCCATAGTTACATTTGGTAAAAGTTTATACCATTCTAAGAAGTAAAACAGAAAGTGACTCACAAAACATTCAAAGTTTTTTTAAATCTATTTAAGGATTATATATACAGATTGAAAAGAAATATTAAAATCTGAATGAAAGAACTAAATACGAAATACCAGTTTAGAAAAAAGTTTATGATATTCTTTGACCAATACAATTTTTTTTCAAAAAAGACATCTTACTTACAGAATTTTATAAAATTTGTCTCTCAAAAAACAGAGGCAGAGATTTCAGTTTTGGGAGATAAACAATTCATATTATTGGCATATATTAAAAGTGAAAAATATTTCTAGTTAATTTGCCCACTTTTTTTAAGACTACTGCATTATGATCCTAAACTAATAAAACTGCAAGTGAATATTATTAATGTATTTCAAGCATTTAAAAACTTAGAATCCTACACACTAGTCACCAATATAGGAATACTGAACGGGAAAAAATTACATGAAACTGATTTTCTTATTTGTTAATCGAGTCCTAAAAAAAAAAAAAAAAAAAAAAAAAAAAAAAAATCCAAATTTGAAAATAATATTAGTAATTTTGTTATCAGGAAGCCTGATAGAGCAAACTCTGCGCTTCTTTCTCTACAGCAGCCATCTAAAAGTTACATTTCGTAATTTATATATATATATATATATGTGTATGTATATACATAAAGAAACATAATAAGAGGATAAAATTAAAAGCAAAATTTTATACCCGTCCTGCGCTATTGCTGCAGGATTTGAGTGGTGCTTTTTAATTATTTGCATCTGCCTCCAGAAAGGTTGCCAATCGCTTAATAGTAATTTTTTTGCAAACTAGTACAACAAAGGCATACTAAGAATTGCATAAAACAATTATCAATTACCAAAACCATAAAAGTAAGAAACATCCTCAAAACATTTTCCTTTTTTGGGGGAGGGGGGCACCGTTCTCCCCATATACACAGCGATCTGTTTCAATTCCAAAAAATAAGAGAAATGCAAAAGCCTGCCACCACAAACTCATTCTCTCCGTGTACACAGCAATAGGTTTTCACTTAAAAATAGGAGATTTGTATAAATTTTGATATATAAAATTTTATTATTTATTAAGTACAACATCAAGGAATGCAAATTTTTTTCATTCTCTACAATTTGGCAAAATGTCATATTTCTGAAAAATGCGATACAGTCAAAAGTCTTTTATCCGGACTCATTGGGACTTCGGCAATTTCGGATTATAGATCATCAGTTTAAATCTGGTAGGTAAATTAAAAGTTGTCAATTTCTTTAGCATTTAAATTTAAAAAAGACTACTATAATAATATGCTGTTCATCAAATTTAGCAAATAGACGTCAAAAGTTAAAGCGCCATTTTTTACATGAATGTTTAAACTGAAAAGACTACAGTTATAAAGTCAATAATCTGGACTCTTCGGGACTTCGGCGATTCTGGATTAGGGGTTTTTTCGAATATAGATCATCAATTTAAATCTGGTAGAGGCTGCAGAAATTATAAAATTAAAAATAGAAACCTAATTTATGAAATAAATAGCAATTTTGATCTAAAGGGTATCAAAATTAAAAAAAAAAAAAAAGCTTAATATTTATTTGTTACTTTATTAACAATCAATGCAAGTTGTTTAAGTTCTCGTTTTGTGCTAATAACTTTCTCTTTCATTCGAAAAGACAAATTTCTGTTCAGTTACTGTCACTTCTTCACTATTGAAGGCGGTACATGGAAACATGCTTTCACTTTGTAGATGCTTGGCAGCTCCGAATCGGAAACTTTTTGACATAATCGAAAGTTCAAGTTACTTTTTAAATGCTATAACAGTCGCAAAAAAATAAGAGCCGATCCATTAAAGATTAAGGAACAACGCAATCTGCAACATTAACTGAAATAGATAATTTTAGCCTAGCTTATACCGTCTGTTATACATTAAATGTGCATACGTAAGCGTATTATGCACAGAAAGTTTGTAGCTTTGCGATCCGGATTAAAGACTTTTGACTGTACTTTTTTTTCAGTCAGCTGACAAAATCCACAGTCATTATGATACCACAGGAAAAACATTGCACTCAATTCAACAAAACAATGACTGTGAACTTGAGTCACTTGTTTGCTGCATATGCACATGGTACTCGAGTTGTCACAAAACTACATTTTAGTGACTTCACGAGTTGCCTATTTTGGCGATATAGTGGAATGCTTCATTAACGACTTGCGCGACGACTAAACTTCACGGTGCCATGCGCTACAATATAACAAGCGCTAAAGTGTCTCATTTACGCCACTCCTTGTCTGCGAGTGCAATCCAGAGCTGTAACTCGAGAAATAATCTGGTTGTTAGGCGATGTGTGCACCACGTTATTTTCATTTTTTTGCGTGGTTTGAGACAAAAGCATCTCGACGTGCATGGCACATCTTTTTAGAGGAAGTGGGTAATAGTTTTCAGGGGTGAGCCGATAATCAGAAAGTATTAAATATTTTTGTAACCGGAAGTATGTATCTACAATCAATGGCTGCAAAAATAAATTAGCATAAGGATATTTATACACATGGTATATGCAATTAGTTGTCATAGACAATCTCTTCTCTTTCAAATACCATTATCTCTAGTCAAATAATTACAGGCTAGTTCATATTGATATTCTGAAAATATTTCATTAAGTATACTGCCATCAAAGCCAAATAATGCACAGAATGCTCTTCATGAGCAACATAAGAGCTTTATAACATCAGCCAGACAAATTAAATTAGTATCTTATTACAGAAGTATTTATTTTAATAGCCACCCACTCCAACAGTTAAATCTCAAACTTTATTCCTAAAAGATCCAACTCTCTCTCTCTCTTCCCCCCAAAAAAAGTGTTTGAATGAAATTAAAAATAGAAATCAGATTTTTAAGAATAAAAAGTCCCTAAAATTAATAAACTAGTCAAACATTTTCTTTAAGAGATTACTAGCCCTTTGTAAAATCTAAGACCATTAAAGATGCACAATTTCTACTCAAGTTGTCAACTATGCAGTTTTCAAAAATTTATTCACTGTTAACTATTCAAAATATTAACCACAAATAATGTATTATTAGCAGTAAATTCCTTTAGTTTACTAATTTTTAGCAATCTAGAGTTAAAATAGATATATATCTATATTTTTAAATTTCAAATACAAATCATGAAAACACTTTTTTCTGTCATGAGGAAACTGGGGGAAGGAGGATAAAACAGAAGTAAATCTTTTTTAAAATATTTTAATACTTCTTTCATAAAATATCTGCTTTTTGACCAGCAGCGTATATGCTGAAATTAGACTGTCAATAATAAATATAATAGTTGTTTTTATATTCCACATATGCCTTCATATAAAAAAGGAAGATATAGATAACAAATGAAGTTGCCATAGCAAAACTGCACTCTAAGTATACAGTGTATCCATAAAGTCCTTATGCAGGCTTTACTTTTGTATCTGTTGGTCAGAGTCATGTATTTAATATTTTTTAAAAAAAGTTTTAAATGGTGCACATATTCACGTTTCTGCATTTTATAATTTAAAACTCAATTTGCAAAATTTATGAAAACCTAACTTTTTATACGGCCTCCTAGTCCCTATAGTTATATTTAATGAGTTTATACTCATTCTAAAAAATAAAATGCATATGCAATTCCCATACAACATAAACTGGCCAAGTTATTTAATTTCAAAATCTAGCATTTTTGCCATACTTCTGTGTTTTTTCCAAAGTGTAAGTCAAAATATAATAAAGACTGGTTCTAACTTTAATATTATTTTATGATTTACTAATGTATAATATTCTTTAATTTATAAGTTTGTTACACTAGGTATGCCACAAGAATTTTCACATTAGTAATTTAAAAATGTGAAATATATGTTACAATAAATCAAAGCCGTACACAAACTTTTACATAAACAGCATATACATATATGCATCACAATTAGCTTACCTTGAGAATTACTTGACAAAAATGTCTTGTTATGGGTAACAGGTTTGTTAGACACAATACCCGATCTTGACATGTCATTATTAGAATTCATCCCTTGACCTAGCCCTACTTTGACTATTGGACGACCTTGATTGGGAATAACTAATGAAGGTCCGACAGAGTTCACATTTCCATGAATGGACCTTTGCTGAGAATTACCTTGTCCATAAATTGCTCTAGGCACTTGACTTAAACCACTATTATTCTGAGAAGTCACAAGATGGCTATTTACACTATTGTAATTACATTCAATACCTGACGCAGAAATACCCACAGAGCTGATTTTCTGAATATTCTGGGGGTCAGACAGCCTTGAGCTTGATTCTACAGAACCTAAAAAATATATTTAACTATATTAAACTTCATTGATTTTAATGTGATTTTCATAGTACTTCCAGATTTGGTCACATTTTTACATTCAATACAACTAAATATACAGTAATGTAAAAATGTTTTTCTACGCTGAGAAAAATTCTTTTTTATCACCAAACACAGTAAGTCGCCAACTTAGCTTCACACAATGAGATAATCTTAGTTTATTAATATTCAATACAAATAAATATAAAGTAATGTAAAAATGTTTTTCTACTCTGAGAAAGAGATTCTTTCTTATCACCAAATTAGCTTCATGCAACGAGATAATCTTAATTTATTGAACAAATTTTAAAATATTTCAGAGATCTAAGTATTAACAATTTAGAAGGGAAAACATACTAATTAATTTATTTCCATTTTGCTGAATAACAGATTTTTGTTCCTTGTTTTCAGCCTTTTCTGACTGGATTTTTCTCATTACAGAGGTTGGTGTGAATGCTATTGTAGGACTAAGACCCTAAAATGAAAACACATCATACATACTATCAAAATATAATTTAGAATATACATAACTAAATAAAACCATCTTAAATTTTTTATAAGAGTAGTTAACAAAAAAAAAAAAA